GGAAAAAAGCAAAAATGTGGTGATATTAGTGAAAGGAATTCTTGAAAAAGCGCTGGAATCCAGTGGATCCAGAGCTGGCCTTACTGAACTATCGCCATACCAGAATCTCCAGCACTGAATACAGCCCAGCACAGGAGCTCATGGGACGCAGGCTGCGGGATCGACTGCCAATGCCAGCGAGAGAGCTAGAACCGAGGACGGTAGACCCCGACATTCCGTCATCTACGCACCAACTATGCATCTAAAGATGATGACAAGCAGGAGCCGACGGTGCGCATGCCGGATACAAGGGATGGCAACGTTCCCTTGGGCTCGGAGACTGTGGGTGAGGGTATCACCCCACTGTAAGCAACGGAAGATGCAGATCGATTGGAAAGTCCGGCAGAGCCCCACTATCCGCAAAGCACTCGAAAAGAAAAGAAGGCAGATGACTACGTTTACTACTTGTGTAACACGATTGAGAATCTTAACATGCATGCGCAGCTTGACCTCCATGCATCATCGGCTGAGCGTATTGGACTTCTCAGAATATTCCATTCACAGTTCATCTATTACTTGACCTTGCCTGTATGCCTACTCTTAACAAGGTACACTCCTTTCTCATTCAGGAAAGGAAAGATGTGACATATTCCACCAACTTTGAGGTAGCGCTTACACTCACTCCTCCATTCACATCTTATTCCCACACATACATTATCTACGCTTGCATTTGTGTAATTGATCACCTATGCTGTCCCCTATATATACCATGCTATCTACTCCTATTGAGGATGTATTCCTCGGCTCTAGAAGTTGTTACAGCATTGAATGTGCTGGATGAGCACACACACATCTACACACACACACACATACACACACCATTGGACCATTGGACGCCCATCGCCGGAGGCGATGATAGCGCACACACACACACACAAACAACCACACACACACACACACACACACACACACACACACACACACACACACACACACACACACACACACACACACACACACACATACACACACACACACACACACACACACACTCAGACTCAGACTCAGACATGCCCATCGCCAAAGCGATGATAGCGAACAGCCATGTTAGACATAGCAACTTGTGCTGGGATTACACCATTCAACAGCTTGCAAGCCTCATGAACTGACCGCCACTAATTTTAGCCTGGTATCCACCACACAGCTGATTGAAGTGACTTTTTTCTGGTCAGTGAATCCCCCCCCCCCCCCCACACACACACAAGAAAACACACAAGAACACAAACTCACACACACACACACACACACACACACACACACACACACACACACACACACACACACACACACACACACATTTATACACACACACACACACACATCTAATGCATTCTTACCAAGGTTGAAGTCCCAAAAGACACAGGATACATTCTCACCCTGGAAATGTGGACAAAAGGAAGACAAAGGCAATATTATGCGACGAAATGATTCAGTAGTTGCTATCTGAACATCCTATTTTCATAAACCTGGATTCTGCGCTCAAATGTAGTGCTGGAGAATATTCCGACAGGGTAACTTCCCTAATCTAGGCGGGTTGGGAAGGGGCCCTGCCTGTAGGTAGGAATAGTTTAATTTGGCCCTTGTGTTCTTCTTGCTTATCACAAAAGAATTTGTATGCTAATCAGTATGCTCAGATCATGGGAGATCTACAGTACTGAATATTGATAAGGAAATTACCTCTTTCAAGGGCTTGTCAATCTTTAAAGAGAATTCGACTGGCTTTGATAGGCTTGATACGGAATCAGTACCCGCCTGGGCCGAGATAACACCGGACTCCACGGTCGTCAAGCCATCGCCATTGCTCGGAAGGCTCTTATCCTGAAACAACACTGCAGACTTGTAGACGATGAACTGGGTGCGGGCCACAGGGCAGAGGGACGAGTTGTCGTCTTCGTCACCACTGGCTTTCTGCGCCATGGTGGCAAGTGTTATCGCTTGCTGGGGAATATCAAAGGATATATCGGATGATTCTGAAGACAGAAAAAAACCGGGACAAATATATTTCTCAAGCACTTCAGGTAGACATGTAGCGTTCATGGACAACATTCTCGAAGGTACGAGACTAGTATCACTTTCACCAAAACGTTCCACGCCTTCTGCCCTGTTGTTGCTGTCAGTGGAGTTTGTTTGGTCATTTATATTGTGGATAGAAAAAAAGTTATGCCATCACATATGCAAGTGGTCTCTTTGATACGCATCTTGACAGTTACATATTGCAATCAACTTTCCAGGCAGGAAGCATCATCAGGACTATGGATATCTGTATCTGTATTGTGTGTAGGGAACTGTATTCTTATGTAAACATTCACTCCTTTCACTGCAACTGTGGTCACTATCCCGGCTAGTCTCGGTGGATGGTGATGACAGTTGTGGACTACGCGAGGTGCAACCAGGGCGTGCTGTATCAAAAGTACACTAGTTGAACTACGTGGATCCCGAAATCCGTTATATTCTAGAGCAGGCTTCGATGTTTACCTTTGTCACTAGTTGCCGGTGGACCAATGTCGAATGTTTCATTCTCCGACATTGTACGTAGTGCTAGTCCAGAGCCCGGTTCAGGGCAGCTGACAGCAAAGGCAACGTTCTCAGTGTGCTTCTGATGAACATCCCCTGTCTCTACGTCCAGTGCAGCCACCAACCTCTCCACAGACTTTGTTACACGCAGCCTGCACACACCACAGGAATTCGGAAAAAAGCACGTTATGTCACTGCTTTGGATTGCAAGCAGTAGAAACTCAGCCATGCACAAACGCACACATGAACATTGGAACAGGTGCAAGCATGCCCGTACATACACATGTGGACTTGCATGTACCCATTCATACACAACCCCCTTCCGAAGCACCCTATATTGTTTATTTTGCGAGTTGAAACAGCACGGCGCCCAAAAGTCGGGACTAAATCGACCTTCAACTCAAATTTCAAATTTAAATCTGCTTCGACAGCAGAATACTAGCTCAAATTTTTGGACATCATCACTCACCGCATTGCTGGTGTGGACTGAGGGGTCGACTCCTCAGACTCCAAGATGTTATCAACAAAATCAACAGTGGATGACACAACCTGCACAGTACATGGCAGGTAAGAATAACAAAAAATATTATTTATGTATGTGCGTGTGCATGTGTTTGTGTGTGTATTTGTGTGATCGGTGACAAGGAAAAGAACACGGACACATAGGAGTCTACTTTCACAAAAAAACGCATGCACCACAGGCCCGAATCCAGCTTCCCAGAGGGGGGGGGGGGGGAGGGAGGGTACGGTCCCGGGTCGGCTACACGCCCGATCATTTTTCCATGCTAAATTATTTCAGTACCAACGGATGATGCATGTGTAGCTCTGTGTGGCATCACATGCGGCTGTTTGAGTTTCACACACCGCCAGCAATAGCTACATGTGTATGTAACCAGTAAGCACAGTATTCCTCACAGGACACAATGAACAGTTTAGGAAAGAGAGGCTCTAGTAAGGACAGCAAGTTTATTAGTGCTTCCGCACACAATTGATCATTCACTGGCCGATCAGTGGAAGCTGGAACTGGTAAAAACTGGAACGGCAATGGCCGCACCAGCCGTACCAGTGGCGTGGGCCTGACGTACAAATGTATGTATGCATGCATGCACACACACACACACACACACACACACACACACACACACACACACACACACACACACACACACACACATATATATATATATACATGAAGGGAATGCAGTACCACAACAAACACGTGATAAAGTTGTCAGTCCGGTTGCAGCTTGAACAGCCGCAGCACCTTGATGTGCTTCTTTTGTCGACACAGCTCTGGCCTCAAACTGCGAATGTACAGCGCCTCCAGTGTGAATCTGTGCGCGCTGTTCCGGGCTGGTGTGATGACACTGAAGCTGCCGTTGCGTTCTTGCGGACTGGGGGTAGAGAATCAGCAAGAATATTCTTACGCGCCTCAAGTTCACACTACACTACCATAAGAATGTATGGAGCGGTGGAAAAATGCGGGAAACAACGCAAGAACGCAACGGCAGCTTCAGTGTCATCACACCAGCCCGGAACAGCGCGCACAGATTCACACTGGAGGCGCTGTACATTCGCAGTTTGAGGCCAGAGCTGTGTCGACAAAAGAAGCACATCAAGGTGCTGCGGCTGTTCAAGCTGCAACCGGACTGACAAATATATATATACATATATACACACATACACAACAAAAGTCCAACAGCCCTTTCACAATCCCAACAACACATCACACAAAATGCAAGTTCACCACAAGATTGGCCACTCGCCATTACAATACTTCAAATTCCTTACCGTTGAGACAATGGACTGATTAATCGGCCCGTCTCCGCTGAGTACAGCGGACACAACGTTGGACAATGCAGCTGTCGCAAAGTTCAGGTCATCCTTGGAGAGTGCGGTTGAATCCTGGGTCAAGTTTGCCAATGACTGCGTTGCTGACACCAGTGTTTCGGGATCGCTGGAGTTGAATGCTCCCTGATGGAGACGAAATGAAATCAAATAGGAAAACACAGTAACAGTTAAATGGAGAAACTTTCGCTAGTGTATAAATTTCGCTACTTTCGTGACCAGTGCACATTCGCAAAATAAAAACGTTGCTTAGGGCCCGCGCCCGGTCACACATGCACCCGAAAGTGGCGGATACGCTGAAGCGACGTTGCAGAAGCGAAAAATACTATGCCAATGGCGAAAAGCGGAACTTCCGCTTCAGCGAAAACTCCAATCCGCTTCCTCCAAAATTTACGAGAAATTTGTACGCGTGTGATGTCCATGCAACAAAAATGCGTGCAAGATAGTCATTATCCTCGTCTATTCTCCGTACCGTATGCACCACAGTCCACTTTACTCTCATTTTCCGCCAAAGTAGGAGTTTGCCCTGTTTGTATGTGTGACCAAACACACATGGACACACCAGGCTCGTTGTCGCAGAAACTCGACACCGAAGCAAA